GGTTTCTGCCCGTTAAAAGGCAGTTTTTCCTTGCCCCCGTCGCCAAGTGCTTGCTCATGGTGGTACTGTTGGGTCTCTGTAAATGTTATAAGGAGTTCGGTCTAGACCTGCTCTATTTAAAAAGTGTTCTGTTGTGAATTTGTGCTATACAAATAAAATTGAATTGAAATGAACTAGCAAAATACTATCTCAGTGTATATGTTAACTGGCCAATGTTAGCTTGCTTGCTCACTAACTGGTTTTTATTCTAGATTGTTCCACCCTGGTTTGAAGTCCAGGTTCTGGTCAGGCTGACCTGTTCCAGTGCAGAGATCTGGCAGCTGGGGATGTCGGGGTGCTGCTGAATCGAGGTCCTCAGAGCTCGGATAAACAGATCCACACAGTTCGGGTCCCTGGACAGCAGGGGCGCCGACGCCTCGTTGTACTTCCCCAGGACGAGCTGCATCAGCTGGGCCTCAGCCCGCAGCAGGGTCGGGGCGTCTGGTCCGCTCTGCTCCAGGAGGCGATCCAGAACAGGAAGCAGTGCGGAGAGGACTGCCTGAGGGGGGGGTCCAGGTGAATGAAGGGACATGTTCTTTCATTTGCTTTGATGGGATTTCAGCGTGCAGGTGTGTTCCCGCGCTCACCTGTCCGTTGACGTGGCTCAGCACTCGCAGCAGGCCGGCGGCGCTGTACGACGGGCAGCTGGGAGTCTGAACGCTCTGCAGCAGCTGCTGCATCGACGACTGCAGCTTCGTCTGCTGCGTCTTCACTTTGACGGACTGACACTCGTCATGAAGCACGCCGAGAGCCTGCGGGGGTTACATGATGATTAGAAGCTCCGCCCCTCTTCTGATCTCAATATTGGTCCAGTTGTAAAATTCAAATGTTTCATATAGTTATTAAATCAAGCAGCTGTGACTCACCTGGCTCAGATACGAAGGGTCGGCGATGATCTCCTCTGGCGTCTTCAGAAGCTTCTCTGTGATTGGCTGGAAGGGAGAACCTTTGGCTCCTGATAGGCTCTGCAGAGCGCCAAGGGCCGCCCTCCGGACCTCCCGAACCGGAGAGCTGAGGCAGCAGAGCAAGGACGGGAACACTGAGAGAGAGACACGGTTATATAAAACCAACCAGCATTTATCTGAGCTGAACATCCTTAAAGAACAAGGAATCAATCACATCATCCTGAGGGAACATCAATGTCTGAACATTTCATCACAATCCATCCAATAGTTGTTCCAGTGGCTGCAGACAGACCTACAACCCGACTGTCCCTTTAAGGCCCATCAGGTTTGGTTTCTTACCGGGCGAGTCGGCGGCTGCCAGCTCCTCCAGCATGGCGGTCGGTTGGGCGCCCAGTAGAGCTCTACCCATGTACAGAGCTTGAGTCTGCAGGACGGCGCCAACCTTTACATCCAGCTGGTCTCCGTGGTTACTGCCGTATCCCCACAGCACGCACAGGAACCGGAAGAGCATCGGCGGCTCGCGCAGGTGAACCTGGAGGAGACCGACGTGATGTTTGTTCAGACTGATTCCACTCTCGTGTCTGTACGCTAAAATGACCTTTAACTTTCAACCGATACAAGACAACAGCAGCCTGTCCTCGGTCTTTATGCTGTAGCCCTACCTGGATGAGGAGTTTCATTAAGTCTCTGAAGCTGCCGGCCGCTGGCCCCTCCCCGGCACCGCTGATGGTGACGCTGAAGAGGCGGCAGAGGAGGCCCAGGTAGCAGCAGGTGTTTGTATCCAGCTTCTCCGGGTTCCACCACACCTCACCTGGAAGAGAAACAACAACAACAACATGCTGCGAGGCGTCTCATCAGGTCGACAGTGGCAGTCAGCACATCCAGGAGGGAGGTTACCTTTGAAGGAGGTGTCATGACACCTGAGGGAGGAGATGAAGTCTCTGAGCAGACACATCAGAGCGAAGCCGTACTCTCTGTCCAGCCGATCACCAGGCTGCTGCACACACCTGCTCAGGTACGCAGTCAGGGCTTCAGAGAAGGACGAGGGGACGCGCACGTGACTCTCTGCTTCCTGTTCAAGCACAGAAAAACACAAAAAACATCAAAGTATTAAAGTCGGGTGGAGGCGCAGTTATAACAAACCATACTGAAAGATTATTGAGCTGTAAACACACTGATGGTACCGTACTGTTCTAGATTAAAGTTATTAAACATTTAAAAGTCTCACAATTCTTCCAAATTACAGTGTCGTCCAAATAAATGTCAATCAATAGTTTGTATTAGTTGAAATTAATAATAATCAGTTTCTTCTGATTAACTCATTAACAGTTGATTACCTGAGAACAATTTAATTAATTTTTTTCTTCAACATAAAGTATTTAGACTTTTGTATCTGGTCTGACCTGGGCGGTGTCGTTCCTGGTGACCTCCAGCAGGGGGCGCTCCAGCAGCATGTAGACTCTCTGAGCGGTGAGCAGGTGCTGGGTCTCACTCAGCTCGCCCAGGCCCAGCAGCAGAGTCTGGGTCAGCACCAGGAAAGACGCCCTGGCTCTGAGTCCGGATCCCCGCTGCTGCTCCTCCACCAACAGAGCCAGCTTCTCCAGCTGAGGAACACAGAGACCACGTCAGGTCTGATGATCCACATCGGATTAACAGTGTGTGTGTGTGTGTGTGTGTGTGTGTGTGTGTGTGTGAGAGAGAGTGTGTGTGAGAGTGTGTGAGTGTGTGTGTGTGTGT